CACTTGCAATTGGCTATCCGTAATGACGAAGAATTAAACAAACTATTGTCTGGAGTCACAATCGCACAAGGTGGTGTTTTACCAAACATTCAAGCTGTCTTGTTGCCAAAGAAGACCGAATCAAAGAAAGCTTAAATTCATCAATGATATTCCTACAAACATCTATAAACCGTCCTTTTTAGGACGACAAATTTAAATTCATAAAGAAAAACTCATTTTTATATTTCAAACACTTTCATTTTGATCCATTGACTTAATTTTATATAAATTTTATTTATTCAAGATAAATGTTCTTATTAATTCAGTTTTACGCTTCATATTTTGGAGATAATTTTTAATGTTGATATTAAATTGATATTCTAAAATAAGGAGAGGCCTTAACGAGATTTTTTCAGTACCTAATATACGAATACGCCCCTGGATCAATTTTATGATTTCTTATTTAGCTATAAATGCATTTATTTTCTTAAGGTTCATGTTTAAGCGGCTGGAAAATTTCAAATTTTAAAATCTCGTTTTTTAAAACTTTAATAATCTTTGTTTAAAAGAGAGTGAAGTAAAGAGAATATGTTGAAAAAAATCCATTCTCTTGTTGCATTTTATTTTTGCATCGATGCTCTTGATCTTCAATTACATGAATTCGGAGATGCAAATGATCTTAAACGTTGAATGAACATTGAAGAATATTAAAAACACTGAGAAAGAAGAGAACGAAAGTTTCTTTAAAAATAAAGTGTATACTGTTATGTTCGAGTCTTTAAGGAGACATGCAATATTAATTTAAGACTCTTTTGTGCGGTTTCCAATAAGTTTTATGGAAATGAGCATAAAAAATTCTTGGAAGTTTATTTTGCATCAATAACTTTACGCCTTAATATTATACAAAGTTTTAGCAACTCAAACTATGACTTCTTCAACGACCATCAAACATGGACGTTAAAGACATTATTTATGAACGAACCTTTATCAATGACCAGAATATACTTTATTAATTATAATTATAGGTTCACAAGACTTAAAGTGTGCACGAATATTAGCAATATAAATCATATTTGATAATTTTTCTTTAAATCTTCCTATGGATTCCTCATGAACCATCAATACTTCTTATAAAAATTCTTCAAACATAATCAGCACTGCTGTCTCAATAATTTTCATCACATGTCATATTCAATAATTAATGTTAATATTGAAAACAACAAGTCGACCAAGAAATCGACAAATGATGCAAAAATGAAGACCAAAGGAAAATGTGAAAATTAATTATGCAAAGAATTTTATCATGAACTTGATGCCACAAGCTATTCGAAGGCAAAAATAATGATTTTGCTTAATTATTGATTGCAATTTGCAAACTTGTTCGCACATCTTGATTGCAGTGCGGTGAGCAACAGAACAGAAATTTGCAGCAAAAATTAATATTTCAGTAATTTTTATCATGCTGGAAGGCCTGAATTCGATGAGTCAATAATATGTATTTAATAAATATGATCGCATTATTGATGATTATGATAATCTTTATGACAATGATATTGATATAATCTTTAGGCTGTTAAATATTTACACACTGAACTAGCTTTGAATGTTTTGAGGATAAGAGATTTATTCAATTTATTCATCAAATGCATCAGGAATTTAAAAGGGATTTCACATTTCCATTTTTATTGGCTCAGGGATTTATTAGGATTTTTATGATTTTTCAGGATTAATCCTGAGTTTCCACGAATTTTCTAAAATTGAGAAGAAGCTTGAGCTAGAAGAAGACAATTAAGTGTTTAAAGTTGAGGCTTGGTTCGGGCTGTTCATAATTGACAGGACTAAAAGTAAGATTGACTTTTTAGGAATGAATGTTTAGCATCATTGTCAGTTGATTTTCATTTCAAAAGGCATGCAAACTCAGATTCAGAAATTCCTCAAATTCCCTTCAATTAAATTCAAAAATGTTGCACATTTCCATTGAAAAATGCATATAAAGTAAAATAGCCTCAGATTCCCCTTTTTAATGACAACAGCATAAAGATTACCAGCTGCTTAGTTACCGGCATCTGGTACCAAACTCTAAAGTAGGAAGCATGACCCCTTTTAAGATATTTTAACTGAATATCAATAACATTCTTACTATTCATATCCTACATTCCATTCAACTACACAGTCACTGCATCCATAGAGCATCACAATTGATCCTGAAAAGCAGTATGACTAAAAAGTTGCATATTCAGCTGAAATTGCTCTTAATAAGATGTCTCGCAAGGATATTAAGCTCATTAAATCCTTAATGATCAGCTATAAAAATCATTATTATAAGAATCAATAGGAATAATTATTTTTGATGACATAAAAGTAGAAGCTAGCATCAGAAGAAATGAAAAGAAAAAAGATTGATGATGAGGAATTATCCACATGTGTCACACGGCTACAATATTAAAGTCTTGTTGCCAACTTCACTATATTAATTCAATTAAAATGAAGTAAGTGGTCTAATGGATGCTAATTCATCAATATCATGTGTCTATTAAAAACAAATTAATTCCTTAATAAGAAAATAATGTTAGAATCGGTAGCTGTGGCTTGTAGAGATAACCTTTAACTTTTATAATTGTGCATTTGCATGCAATTGCTTTAGATTGAATTTCTTCATGTAATTCGCGTGATTTCACTTGCTGTTCTGGGATTTTATTGTTTTCTTAATGTTTAAATGTAGTCGGTTCCAATACACTGCAGCCATTCCAAGACATGAATAACTATAAAGATGTGTAAGGACCAACTTAATACAGCCACAAAACAGCATATGTATTAAATTACATGCATTGCTTATGCATGTTGCAGTTGTAATCAAAGAATCGTCATGGTAAGAAGAAGGTCAAAATTGCGCGTGCCTTCTTGATCTTATTTTACATTTTTTTCTTTACGGCTAAATCGCCAACTGCAACTCCAACATGATTAATTTCCCCTCACTAGCTGTTGAATTTTGCAAGTCTTATCTGTGCAACAACTTCTTTTACAATTTTAGTTTTGTTCGTGCTGCATTTATTAATACATATATGTTATGTATTAAGATGAAAGGAAAAGTGAATAATGAAGTTGCAAGTGGATTGTAGCAACAACAACATAATTCACCTTTCTACGTATCTCCATCTCTCTCACTCAGACTCTATCTCTGAACTATTGCCTTAAAGAATATCTATTCAATACATTTAAGTCAATTAAATCTGTTTGTCTAACTTATTAAGTTACAGACAGTCAGTGTCGACTAGAAAATTATCACTTCAATAGAAAAATTGTTTTTTTTTTCTTGAGAATTTATTTTAATTTTCCTTATAATTGATGGTGAGTCTTGAGAACGATTGTTATGTTGTGTCTGCAAAAAAATTAATTTTAGGTTTATTATTTGAAAATTTATTGTCCTTATAATTTGTTCTATGACTTTTCATGTGATCGCTATTATACCTAGATCTTCAGTTTGAAAGAAATCTGAACTACTTCTTTCAGTGACATTTTTGCAGCCTTTTTGTTTGGAACTCATGAAAAACGTTTAGCCGTTCTCTTGAAATAACTTAATTTTAACTATCCTTGTTACGACTTAACTGAAGTCTGAATTCGAAGCTGCAGGAACGTAGCCAGAAGGAAGAAAGATTTGAGGGGCAAATAACACTTAATTAATAATAATTTGTGAAGAGCCCAGCCTTTCAGGAGGCACTGCGATTCAACTTGTAAAGAATCTTTTGAACCACAACCTTTTAGACCTAAAGAGTGGGATCCGAACCACTTGGACAAATAACACTTCGTCAATAGAAATTTCTTCATTTTGTTGCGTATTTTATTCGGTTTTTAACCAGGCTCGGACCTATACTGCCTAATAACGCCAAATACCCCCAAATGCCACCTCTTTATATTAAATATCGCTAAATACCTCCTTTAAAATACCGCCTAGTTTCCGAGCCAGGGTTTTTAATTTCGGACAATATTTTTTTTTTGCTCCCTTCCTCTTGAAACGCCACTGAACTTGGGACAAGAGCTGATTAATGAATCTCACATGCGATAAAAAAATATTGTTTTGTGTGAAGTTTATTAATTAAGATAAAAGATAAAAGGTTAAGCTGTTATTATGTAATCACTATTGTTTTGAGAACGAGGGGTGAGGGGGGGGGGGGGGGGATTTTTATTATCAAGCTGTAAACTCAAAAGAGTTTTAAACTTCGTTAAAAAAATTTTTTTTTTTGGAAAAGGTACGTCCAATTTAACCAAACATTCTTAGCTTCCAAATTAAAAAATATCTTAAACAATAATTTTTTTTACTTTTGTCAAAATACACCAGAACATTTTACTCAAACGTTCTGAAAAAATTCAAAATGTGTCTCTACTAAGATTTTGTGCCCATGCTGTACAGACGAGTTCACATTTTTTACTTCAAAACAGTCAGTGTACGGCAATTTTATTTACCGGATTTATGTTTTAAACATTTTATAGATTTTTAACACTTTATTGAAATATATAAATTTAATAATTAATTTGTTCCTAGTTTTTGTGACAAAACTTATTGATTAAGTTTCAATTATTCATGAAAAATAAACGAATATTAATCAATCCCGCCACCTACAACCTGCCGTTAATAAATCGAGTCAGTTTCCGATGCATGACAAAGTCCAGTCGCATGCACATGAAGACGAAATAATCGAAATAAAACTTTCTTCCTTGATGTCTCATTATATCAGTTTTATTCGCGGAATGAAGTGCTATTTAATCAATTAAAGGAACTACAAAGTGAAATAACGTAATAATAAAGAGATTAAAAATAATAACACATTGATAACATTGTGCAAAGTGCTAAAATAATTGAAAATAAATCATTTGTTTCTATTTATTAAAAGGAAAAAGAGAAGAAAAAAAATATTGAGAGTAAAGTTTTGTATGTGCAGTGTTCGGAAGGAAGCAGAACGAAGAGAAAAAAAATTCTAAGAATTGGAAAACTCAAAATAAGGAATAAAATACTATCATTTGGGATTATCATAACTCAGTGACAGTGATCAGTGTATGATATATTGTGAATATAAGCTATTAATATCCGTAAGTTAAATCTTATTTGCCGGAATTTTTACAAGTTTCTTTCATCAACAAATAATATTTCGCACAAAACAATCAAAATCTTCAAGTCAAATTCCCGTAAATCGCTTCTAAATTGTCATAATGTCCTTCTTAAATTCCATGTGTGTTCCCAAATGAATCTCCAATCCAGGTGAAATTTTTATTGTTATTATTTAAATTGAACGATACATTAGAAACATTCATTTATATTTTTTCGCGTGGGCACACAAGATTTTATATATTTTTTTTATGTTTTCATGTCTTATGATCGAAAAAGAAAAATAAAATAAAAATATCGGTGCGAACAACAGCACAGAGGAGAGCAGAGCAGAGTGTGTATAGTTTGTATATTATTATTATTTTTTTCTTCATCCTCTTCTTCATCATCTTTTTTTTTGTAACATAACGACAACAGATATGAAAGAAGAAGGTCTGCGATGTGGGATGAAGAAGAAGAACACAAGAAATTAAAGAAGAAGCAAGGGAATGCGTAAGAAATGCCTAAAAGCATTTCAGAACAGGAGAGAACAAGCAATAACAAAAAAAAATTGCCCATTGTTTGACTCCAATTCCATAGATTATTGCCTTTTTTTTATCCCTCTGACTCTGTTGGTCGCTTCGCTCTCTTTTTTTTCCTGTCTCACTGTTTCTATGCCTTTATAAGCAGAACTATGACAAAATAGCAATTTTAACAATATGAAATATTGCCTGTTGACAGGGTTGTTAACACAGTTGGGTTGGTGTCTTAGTATGGGACTGGTTTGTAGGGCCTACGAGTACCTTACTGTTGTTACAATTAAATTTGACATTGCCTGAGTATGTCCTAGATATGAAGAACATCTAGCAAGCTTACTCAGTTCAAGCAGATCAAGTTCCTAGCTTTGGTCGAGCTAATAAAGTGACTAGCTTGGATCGAGTTGATCAAGCTACTAGCTGAGGTCTAAGTGATTAAGCGACTAGTTTAGGTTGAGCTAATTAAGCAACAAGCTTGAGTCTAGCAAGTCAAGTGACTAACTAGGGTCGAGCTGATCAAATGACTAGCTAGGGTCGAGCTGGTCACATGACTATTTAGGGTTAAGTTGATTGAACGACTAGCTTGTATCGAGTTGATTGAGCGAATAGTTTGGATGGAGCTGATTAAGCGACTAGCTTGAGTCGACCTAGTCAAGTGACTAATTAGGGTCGAGCTGATCAAATGACTAGCTAGGGTCGAGCTGGTCACATGACTATTTAGGGTTAAGTTGATTGAACGACTAGCTTGTATCAAGCTGATTGAGCGACTAGTTTGGATTGAGCTGATTTAGCGACTAGCTTGAGTCAAACCGATAATTCTAACCTCCCGTCTTTGATTTTAAATCTGTTCATTCACATCATAGATTCTAACTCTGCCCATTGTTGTCATTGCTATTTTGCGTAGTTTTTTTTTTTTTTGGCTTCGTTGATAAGGAAACACGTACAAAAAGCGCACACATATTCACGCAAAAAAAAAACGTTTATGCCACCAAAAAAAAAAATATCCAATTGATTCCATTTAAAAAAAGAAAAGGAAGAGAAAAAAAATTTTATTGACAAAAATATGCAAATAAATCAATCATTTCAATCTCATTGTAAATACCAATGAAGCTTTTATTACTTTTTAAAAAAGAATTGGGATATAAATGTTAAAGTTACAGAGCCAAAAAGGCAAAGCATAGCAAAATTCGTGTGTGTGTCAAGCACTTGCTTTTTACTGTTATTTCTGTACATATATCAAGCGTCAAAGTCAACCATCGTGTGTGAGGGTGGAAAAATGATAAAAGATAGCAATTTACCGATTCAATTTAAGCATTCGCTCTCTTTTTTTCACGGGTAATTCCATGTACGTTTATGTTCACATAGGCACAGTGCTAAAGCTACATATGCGGAAAAAAGAGTGAAGAACAAAATGAAAGAAGAATTATGGTGACGATGATTGAGTACTTTGCCGTGTATTGACAGACTAATAAAAAACAAATTTGATATGTATTTATCATGTGGGTGTAGCTTTCCTAAAAACCTGTCAATAATTGTGAAAAATCATGATTGATTTTTTTTTCCGGAGCTTAAACTTGCTTGTCCTCAATTTAATTGAAGTTCGGGATGTCTATCTGGTTCTATTGAGTAAAGTGGCCATATTCGAGAATGACACAAGATGAAAGACAATGGCGCCAGTGTATTGGAATCCAAATCCACACTTAAATTAACTACACGCAGTCCTAATGCCTCTTTTTCACATTCCTGCCACATGCACCATTAAGAACTGGCATTATAACTTCACTTTTTAAAATTGATTCATGTGGACAGTTAAAAATCACTCAAAAAAACCTCGAAAAACACTCCAATAAATTGACAAACTTCCCCGCACCAAAAAAATTCTACCCAATTTTTAAAATTGAACCCCATACAGCGTGATATTTGTTAACATCAATTCTTTTCTCAGCTGCAAATAAGAACATAAAGACAGTATTGATGAGAATGATTATGAATTATCAGGGTGTAGGCTATACGTTGAGTGACATACATTTCTGTATTGACAGGAAAATTATTTGTTTTTGAAATATTATTATGATGTCTTAGAGTTGGCTGAAGGGTGGGGGTGGGGTCGGTTGGTTTAGGGGTTGATTTTATAGGATTTGGAGCTTAGAGAGCTGGGCTAGAATACCTTTTAACTTATATCAGCACATTCGACTATCGTAATATTAAGTTTCAAGCAGAAAGCTTATCTATTTGCAAGGGGGAAACATCATGATGGGAAAAATTTTAATGGGAAGTTCTCACCAGCTTAAATTTTGTTTATTGTTAAGGGGTCGTTCATTTATGACGTCCGATATTAACGGCCATTTTTCGAAAAGAACAATGGAATTCCAGGAATTTATTTTGTTCTTTTCTTGCTGACCCCCACCCTGAACGTCATAAGTGTACTAAAACAAGTTAAGAAAATCTTGGTAAAAATCATTAAGAGCTTCCCATAGTGATTAAAAAAACATGATGAGATTTTCCCGCCAAAACATTTTCCCATTACATTGTTTCCCCCGTCCACATTTGATTCCAAAAACCAGCACTCCACTTCAAGGTATGAGCAAAATTTATGACAGCATTATTGTTTTCTTAACATCTTCTTTTTCATTAAATAATTTATTCCTCGTTCAATTGCACAATTTCCGAAGAATCTTTTCCTTTCCTTTCCGTTTGGCTATCGAACATAGCATATTGATTGATTTGATTCCATTGTGCTTTTTTTTTTTATTTGTGTAACAACAGTGTTATTTACTCTGGATGTATATTTCTTTCCTTTTGCCCCATTTGTCTTCATATTGAATTATTCATGAGCAGTCTATAAAAAAACATTATCCAGTTTATAATTGAAGTCATACAAAAATAAAATATATCGATGTGTATTTATTACTTCCACGAAAAGATAATAGAAATAATACATAGGCATTATAATGCTTTATTTTTTCAACGACATCCAATAAGGCGTCGATAAAAGTATCTAAGAAAATAAATTGAATTTAAAAAGGGGCAAAGTAAAGGTGATGTTAATGCGTTTAAGTCTTTACCGTAGGCACTACCTTCAATTGATTTATGTGCAACGGCTTCATTCATATCTTTATAAACAAATTGTGTCGTTTGTTGAGTTGGATGTTAAGGAGCTTGATGATTTATTTTTAAAAATAATATCCATGGAAATTCAAATCGTCTGTTGAAGTTTACATTGTCAATAAGCTGCTTGATATCCCACATACCTTATAAAGGTTGGAAATTGGCAAAATGTATTACACGTATGTGATGCATCAAATACACTTAACATTTTCATGAATAATGCTTTGAAATTTTTTATTATTGAATTTATTTATTAAGTTAATGGTAGCTTCTGGGGGCAAACTACTTGAAGGGAAAATCTAATTATTAATCCAAAAAAATTTTAATTACAATATTTTTGAGTTTTAACTCTCAAGCAATGAATAATTTTTGGCGGGAATTTTTTATCACGAAGTAGTTTCCCCCTTGAGTAGGTTGTTGACCACTTTTTTGATGGAACCTGATGATTTTGATCATGTGCTTTAGTTTAAATGAGGATAGTGTCTCATTCTAGTCCATGATTTCAACTAGAACACTATATTAAGCAGCTCGAAATTCGAACTTAGACCTGAGTACTTCACACCGGCAATCAACCACTAATAATTCAAAAAAAATTGAAATTCAAGTCCTAGATTTAGTCAAAAAGCTCATCATCAAGTGGAAGTCTGAGCCCCCCTGACAACATCCATCCAATAGTCAAAACATATTAAATATCGAGCATAACTCACCAAACATCAAACAACTTACAAAGCATAAAAACACTTAAGTTCTAATGACCTAGAAAATTTCATTCTCACATTTCAAAATTACATTTCTCTCAAGCCACTAAATATTTACTTAATCATCCAGAACCAAACTCAACTATGATGCCAAAATAATCTAAACATTCCTTGAGCTCAGAACATAAAAATTTACCAATTACCAAGCAGTAAATTCATTGCTGAAATGATTTTTCAATTTCAAACTTTTTCTGACACATAAATGACAGCTATAACTAAACATTTGGGATGTGAGAAAATCCAAATGGATAAAAAAAAAGTTTAACCTCAAAAGTATATAGACTTAACTATTTACTGATTGACAAGTGATTTTACCAATAATATATCTTCAACTTTTGACTTTTGTGTCGAGCATTTCCTTGGAAAAAAGAAGATTAAAAAGATATTTCGGATATCCGGTCAGTTTTTTTTAAGTAATCGGATGTTGCCTTTCCCAAATCATTTTGTATACAAATATGAAATTGAAAATCCTGTAACTCTGTTTTTGAAAATATAGAGCAACATGTCTAGTCTACAAACAATTGAAAATTTTAAGAATTGGGACGATGGAGAGAACAACTGTTGTACATGCTCTCGATTATCACTCCCAGAAAAAAAGGGCAG